TCACTATCAAAAATCTAGTTGCTATCAGTTACTGTACAAATGTACCCCGTTACCCCTTTTGCCCTCCCTCCACCCCCCTTCCCCTCTGGCAACCACCAATCTATTATCTATATCCATGTGTTTGTTTGTTGTTGTTGTTTTGTCTTCCACACATAAGTGAAATCATATGGTATTTGACTTTCTCCGTCTGACTTATTTTGCTTAGCATAATACCCTCAAAGTCCATCCATGTTGTTGCAAATGGCAAGATTTCATCAATGGATGAATGGGTAAAGAAGATGTAGTATATATGTACAATGGAGTACTACCCAGCCATGAAAAAGATGAAATCTTGACCTATATCGTTTTGTTTCTCTCTGAAGAGCTTTTAAAATTTCTTGCAAGATAGGTCTACTGCTGATGAATTTCTTTGGTTTTTCTTTATCTGAGAAAGACTTTATTTCTCCTTTATTTTTGGAGGATAATTTCCCTAGAGATACATTTCTAGTTTGGTGTGTGTTTTTTTTCTTTTAACAGTTTAAATGATTCACTTCGCTCTCTTTTTCTTTGCATGATTTCTGATTACAAGTCCACTGTATTTCTTAATTTTTTTCTTCTATAGGCAAAGTTTTTATGTTCTCTGGCTTTTCTTCCCCGGCAATTTATTATTTTGTGTGTTGTTCTTTTCTTTCTCTTATTTTAAAAATATAGTTTGAAAATGATATGCTGTGGTGTAGATTTTTAGCATTTATCATTCATGGTGTTTTGGTGTTCTATGAGCTTCCTGTAACTGTGGTTTGGTGCTTGTCAACAATTTTGGAAAGTTCACAATCATTATTACTTCAAACATTTCTCCTGCTCCAGTGTCTCTTTCTTCTCCTTCTGGTATTCCAATTATGCGTATTTTATACCATTTAAAATTATCTCACAGTTCTTGAATATTATCTTCTCTTTTTGCTTGTCTTATTTTTTTTTTTTTTGCTTTTATTTGTGTATTCATTTTTTGCTTTGTGTTTCATTTCAGGAAGTTTCTGTTGACTTACACTCAAGCTCACTGATTCTTTCCTTGGTTGTATTCAGTCTCTTGATGAGCCTGCCAAGTGCATTCATCATTTCTGCTACAGTGTTTTTGATTTCTAGCATTTGCTTTTGACTATTTCTTAGAGTTTCCATCTCTCTACCTCCAGTACCCATCTGTTCTTTCATGCAGTCTTTTTCCTTTAGAGCCTTTAGCATATTCTAAATTCCCTGTCTGGTCATTCCAACATTTCTGTGGTTTCTGAGTCAGATTCTGGTGCTTCCTTTGTCTCTTCAGACTTCATTTTTTTCCTGTCGTTTAGTATGCCGCATAATTTTTTGTTAAAAGGTGGACATAATATGTTGGGCAATAGTCAGTGAGTTAAATAAACCTTTAGTGTAAGGTTTTATATTAATTTGGCTAGTAGTTGGGTTTTGCTTAATGTTTGCTGCAGCTGTTGATGCCAAGGACTTTCAAATCCTCCAGTGTCTTTTTTTTGGTTTCTATTTGTGTCTTTAGGTTTCCCTAAGAACTCCTTCTCAAATAACGTCTGTGTCTTACAACTTTTCAGCTGTAATCTACCGTTATTATAGTGGAGCCCTGTTGATGTGGTGAGAGGAACTTATCTATGACCTTCTGATTAGGTTTCACTCCTTTAGTGGGCCTGTATTCCTGGGCTGTGACCTTCAGAAGTGTTTCTTTACCTCTTTTCCCCCTTATGTGAGACAAGAAGGCTCCGGGGGGTGGAGTCAGGGAAATGCTCTTCCTGTAGGTGAGATAAGGCTCCAGTAAAGTCTGTTATACTGAAGAGTAGGCAGTTGAAATGGAGAACACTCTGCATGCATTTCAAAATGAATGCTTTTCCCCTTCCCCTGTTAGAGACATGAGATGACTTTTTTTTTTTTTTGGTTCTTTGTTTTAAGAGTCTGGTTTGGTTCCCAGAGGTAAACCTATGAAAGTATGGGGACTCTCCCTAAGACTGTAGCCTTCAGATGGTTATTACTTTTACTCTAATCCACACATAGATTCCAACATCTTATCAAAATTATCACTCCAGTGTTCCTACCACTTTATGGTTCTGGCAGATTCTGCTGTAGGTAAGCTGATCTTGACTATGATTCTCTGTATTCATTCATCTCTCCAGGTTTCAGAGTGGTAGTTTGCCCTTCAACCTCAATTATGTGAAGGATGTAAGAGTAGTCATTGATTTTCAGTTTGTTCAGCTTTTTTCTTATTGTAAGGACAGGAATGGTGACTTCCAAGCTCTTTACTTGTCAGAACTGAAAACTAGAAGCTATCTCTAAATTCATCTTAACCAACATGCATGGCATATTAGTTTTAAGGATTGCCAAATTATTGTTTTTTTTTAGTGTTTCTACATGTCTCAACCAACCCTGGATAGGAATATTAACAATTTAAACTTGAATCTCAGGTGACAGGCAGCTACTGAAATGAAAATGATTCTCATAATGGCTGTGAGAGAAAGGAAAAAGATCCAAAATAATAAATTTTAGAAACAAATTAGTGTTACTGGACCAAAATCCTACAATTGAAAGCAACTGTATAGCAACAATCCAGGAATTTGAAAGAAGAGATTTAGAACACGTCTGTTATAAATACTACGAATAAGCAGAACAAGTAAGAGGTTGATTCTATTCAAAACTTTTACCCGAGATGTTGAACAAGGCCCTCCAGGTCTCAGGACGAAAAGTCTCATTCAAAGCAGAGGTCATCTGAACTAATGACCCAAAAGCTGAATTTTTGGTACACATTGTTGAAAAAAAAATGAATAGATTGCTGACTTTTAATGATTCAGTGATTTCGCTCGAAAATCTGGATGCTCCAGAAACACTTGGCTGACGTTGCCCCTGAAAGCCGTCTGCAGGAGCAGAGCAGAGGCTTACCTCCTCCAGTTTGCATGGATGTCCCCAGATCATCTCCCTGGTTTCTGTAGCTGTGGCTTCCAGTCATCTGAGTTTGTCTTTTGAACCAATTTATTTGACGTTGGAGGGAAAGAAAAAACCAATAGGTCTTTTATAGAACCTGGAAGTCAGATAGAAATTCAGGGTATTGGTTACATTTCAGTAACATGTCCATTCAATTCACTTTTTCCATAGATGGTTTGTAATAAACAACTTAAATTAGCAATAAAGAAGCACCCATGAATATGTTTCCTTTCTTTTTTGGATCTTTGTAATTTTGGGTTGTTGAAAACAACATCTTCCAAATTTTCTCCGTATCTCCTTTTTGTTCCATGTCAATTTACTCCATTTTGCAAGAAGTCTGGCCAGCTTCTCTAAGTCCATTTTGTAGAATTCAGATTCTGATTCAAGGCATAGTCATTACTGCCACTATGTGGTTTACTTTGGAAGTACTTAAAAAGAAAATGGTTAGAGATTTTGAACTTAAGGTTACATAACCTTGACATTTTTCCCTAGTCTCCATAGCCCGTACCCACTGATATACTTTTCCCCAAGGATAACACCTAGTTAATAGTTTATTTTACATTTTTTTTTCCATGTGCATCTTTTTTGGTTGTGTGGGAAAAACACACATATAGACATGCAAAGACGCACACAGAAATGTACATGTATATGTACACGTAAAATCTATGTATGTGTATATGCATACACAAAGAAAAATACATACGTATATACACACATGCATATACCCACTATATATATATCTGTTTACTGCATTTTCCTTATTTACAGAAATAGATTCATATTATACATACTTTTTTGTACCTTGATTTTATTCTTTTCGGTGGCTGTCCATTTGTGGACATTTCTGTTGTTTCCAATTGTTTCTCTTTTGTGTTTGTTCTCTGTTTTGTTATTAACACTGTAGCATTGACATAATCTGGAGATTACATCATCTTGAACTTTACAGTTGTATTAGTGATGAAAATTCCTAGAAGTGGTATTCTGGGTCAAAAAGTTTGCATATTTAACATTTTGGAACATATTGCCAATTTGTACAACAAGGGAGCACAAACTCTACTTTTCTTGCATCTTTGCCTTTACTAGATATTCTTGAAATTTAATTTTCTCTATTCTGATTTTTATCCCTTTACAATGAATGAAGTTGTACACCTTTTCATATGTATATTGCATATCTGTCTTTATTTTTCTGTGAAATTCTTGTTCATACATTGTATATCAATATCCAGCTTTCAAAATCTCTCCAGTTTGGTTAGCATTCTTAAGATGTCATTTCTCAGAGTTTTCATCTGGAGTTTCTAGAAGAGAAACCTGCTACCCTTTGCTGCCTGTTCCCGTGCCAAGTTTCCGGGCAGCCTTACACTTGACACCTTGCTGGCTGGTTGAGATGCCACGTGGTATGTCCCTTGGGGCTAAGGTTTTCTTCATGTGTCATCTCTGTAGGTTTTCTTTAGGCTTCTGGGCCCTATGAGATACCATAGTGAAAGGTGAAACTTGAGGGTTAATAACCATAAAGAGTGAAATTCTCACAAATTTCTCTTGTTAGACATGATAATTACCCGGGAACAGGCTGAAAGAGGGAAGCAGGAAGATACTCTGAATCAATGTCCTCCATAATTCCGAGAATGTTCTGAAGTTCATTCAATCAGCATTTATTGAATCCCAAATATTAGTAGTTTAGCTAATAATTATTTTATTTTATTTTTTTGTAAAAGGAACATTGAATAAAACATACTTGTGTTTTTTTGGCTGTCAGGCACAATGACAGCCTTGTACCGTGGGTGTAGATTAAAATGAGAAGTCAGATTCAGGATTCTAAAATGAAGAACCATCTTAAATGGACCTTATCGAATCACAGAGAGTTTCAGGGGAAGAGGGGGAGAACACAAGCAGTGTGTGAGAAATGGGATGCAAATGATGTCTCTGTCATTCTCCCGGTCAGGTGCCAGTGGAAAAGTTACTGGCAAGTTTCAGTAACTTCGATACCTAGCTATAGTGTTATAGGCCCTCCTCTCATATGTTGTTCTCCAGCTCAACTCTGTGCATGTGATTTCCCACAGTATTCAAAAGCGGAAAGGCATCCTGTGACTGCATTGGAGAAAATGATGGAGTCAAGTTTTGCCGGCCCCCATTCATTCACAGAGGTCTCTTCTGACAGAGGAAGCCAATCTGTCAAACACCACAGGTACAAGTAGCTAATCACGGTGGGAAAGGGTGCGTTCACACTATGTTTAATGCTGGACAACACATGACAAGGAATGGCAGCATTATTCAAGAGAGACGATTGTTCTTGCTTCTCCTGTAGTTCTCCACGGAGTGGATGCTCAAGCAGTTCACGGCAGGTAAACCAAAGATACCAGCAGGCAGCAATGCTCCTAGAAGAAGCTTAAAGGAACTATTAACAACACCCCTCAAAGCTGCAGACACAGACCAGTGAATGAAACTATTGCATTCTGGAAAACTATTAAAAACATGATTTTTCCTAGCCTGCCTTATCACTGTCTGGAAATTTAATGACTAATTCTTCCCTAGGTAGCTCATGTGACACGCTCCAGGTCTTTCAACATGGTTCTCACACGAAGAAAACTTTCCAGGGGGAGGAAGCCTGGCAAATCTTTTCCTTGGGTCTATAAAGTCTTCTGTTATCAAGAACGGATAATATGGCACTCTTTTACAAGTTGACCATAGAAATTGGCTCTTTTGGGAAGAAAGCCAAAAGTAGTTATCTTATAAATTTCATGACATTCTGAGGCTGAACAAGCTCTTCAGCATCTTCTAGTCACATGCTGAGTTTTATACATAAGGAATCTGGAACTCCAAAAGTTCAGTCTTTGTCCTAAACCAAGTGCCAATGTTTGGGACTAATACTGGAATAGGCATTATGTTTATGTACATCTAAATGTATATCCTCAATCCTTGTGGAAGTTGTCTAAAGATTTCAGCTTCCTTTTCTTAGTGAGAAGTACAGTATTTTAAAATTAAAAAAAATTATGAAAAGATTAAATTTTTTAGAAGGAAAAGGTAAAAAATAACCACTGTTCCCAGCAATGAAAGATAAATGTTGTTAACCCTTGGTTTTCACCAACCATCTAGACAATGTTTTAGAAACCATCATGACAGAAACACGCTTTAGACAAGGAAACTGTCTTCTCCCTCACCTCTCAATGATTCCAAAAAACAGGCTTTTTTTGATGCTGGCCACATTCACTGTGAGGTTTTCAGTCACTCTTGATACTAATCCTCAGTACTAGATGATGATTTTTATTCTCATTTTACATGAGTAGAGACTGAGATATTAAGGGCTTGCTAAGTTTTTAAAAAAAGGGTTTAAATATTTTCAACTCAGGATTGAAATATGTTAGGCTATTGGATAATTGCTTTAGTTATTAACTACAAGTTTTGGTTTATATCAATTGAGACATTTACATATATTTCCCTGTGAAAGGAGCATTTTAGTTCACTAGACCTGATGGAAGTTCTTTAATTAGGGAAATAAGCCCAAAATTACCAGCCTTTTAGAAGATGGATATTTTCTCCATAACAGTATTTTCCCCTGCTGATTATAACACGTATGAAAGTGGTATTCCGTCCAGTCAAGTGAAATAATTAAGTATAATATTATTCTAGTACCATATTATGCCATAAATGTTTTGAAGTTGAGAAAAAAGAATTATAGCTTCTAACGCATTTGAGCTGCAAATACCCTACCCCTGCTCCATGTTGATGCTTGCCCTCCTGAACCTCTAAGAGTCACCCGCAGATTAAATAAGGATGTCTGTAAGAGACCTTTCTTTTTGTTTGGTTCAATGACATTGCAGTATTTGTTCGCGTACCTTGTGTCCTGATAGATAGGCAAGGGTTGATTTATAAAGTGCTTTTAGAACTTTGTAAATTATAGTTTAATATATCATAGCTTTTGTTTTGTAAAACACGCAGTAGACATAAGCGTTTTCGTGATTGATAGCCTGGTCACTGATTTATATAGCCTGCACACTGCTCCATAACTTCCTGAATGCCACTGAGTTAGAAGCTTGAATAGTTGATTGATCAATAGGTGTAGAAGGGTTTTTTAAGACGGGTCACTAGTTCATACCAGTAGACTTTGCTGTTGTGACAGTTTGGCTAGCTATGAATAATTAATTTCTTTTTGTGCACTGCAAATATGACTCATTTGGATAACTCATTTATGAAACAAAGCTGTTAATTCAAAGTCATTATTTCTCAAGTTTAGTCCAAAAAAAAATTTCTTCCCTTTTAAAGAAGATATCTTTTATGTCATATCATTCTTATTGCATTATGTTTTGGCAATATAATTCATTTCTAGACAACAGACATGTAGGTTTTTCACAGTGAAGTAAGACCACGGTTTTCAGTAATTACTAGGAGCTTTTGAGTTGTCAGTTGTGGCAGAGGAATCAGGGAAGTCATCTTGTGGAGCACCTGCCACGTGCTGGCTCCATGCTAGACACTTCTTGTACTTTGTCTCTTTTAACCCCCATAGCCATCCTATGAAAACACTTACACATGATGCTAAGACCTTTCTTTTGCACCTCCTCCTCCCTAGTCATTCCCTTTCTCTGCCTTCCCTGTGCACTAAGAGGGCAGCAGCCTCCCTTGTCCTCTAGCTTCTGTTGGTCCAATGAGAGGCGCCCGCAAGAGCTGGAAGGGCGGGGGAGAGTGAGGTCCTGGCACTTCTGCCCGCTCTCCACTTGCTTGGTTGCCTCAGCCATGTCCCTCCTCCTGGGGCCACAGCAACTGTCAGGTCGTCCTCTCCTTACAACCCCTTTCTCTCTCCATTCTGGTAACTGCTCCCTCCCTTTTCCCTTCAGTTACAGGAGTAGTAACAGCTTCCCCTGTTACTAGCCCTGATGTACAGTAGCATCCTGTGGTGCTCTTTTTTTTCCTCAAACACCGAACACACTTTTATATATAGCAAAATCTCCCCAAATGACCCAATTTAGAGTGCTATCTCTTTCCCTCCAGGACTCTGACTAGTACAAGTACTTCCCCCAGTTTCACACTGCTAGTAATGTACAGACCCGAGATGCACACCCAGATGCTACTAACTCTAGCACCCAAGCCTGAGTACTCCACAGGTTCCATAATTGCCACTGGTTGCTATAGATAGAAGCTGGAAGGAAGGGAAACACATGAGCTGTTACAGACCTCCTTAAAATTGGTGATTTAGTGACCTAATTAGAGGTCCTTTGTTCTTAGGCATTTTGAGACTCAATATACAAGAAATATCATGATGAAGAATGAAGGTGTAATAATATTGCCAGGTATAATCTGGTGTTTGAACAAACTTAGGAAGTTAATGTTGCCTTGAGGGATATGAAATTTGATCAGTTACATTACCCAAACTGGGAAAGTGGCTCCTAACATTCAAATGTCAGCTTCTCAAACTCTGGCCTTAAATAATATTTGAGAAGTTTTATATTTATTAAGTAGAAATAACAGTAACGCTAGTGGGAGAAGAGTTACAGAACTCCAAATAGTATAGTGATATGGGTAAAACTCCTTTGGGGGACTGGTCCCTTTAGAACTTGATGGGTTTATTGAAATTTTGAAAATTTTTTTTCATCTTTCTCTGTATGGTTTTACTGATATTTTCAGAGTTAAATGAGAATGCAGCACAAAATTCTAAGTTCACGTATTATCTGAACACTGCAGAATCAGTTTGACCACATAAACTGACAGCTCGTGGGATGTCTACACAGGAACAAAGTCCCACCATGTCGCGTGGTGGTAGAGTGGATTCAGTGGGTGGAGGTGGGAATGGACATGGAATAGGTAATGAGTTAAATTAGCAATTGATCTTTATAAAGAGTCTGTTCTTTTGTTCAACATGATTTATGTAGGGATCTCACCGAATGCATATTTTGTTTATGTCTTTTGCCCTTTGATGGAACCTAAAAATCATCTGGTTATTTGGGTATTTGGTTGCATGAGTCAAAATGAAGTATATAATCTAATGTTTATTAAAGCAAACTCCAAAGAAAAATAATTTAGTTTCTCAAGACTGACAAAAATTTGGGGTAGTGAACTGGGAATTTAAGACATATGTTAAGGAGAGAGTGCCAATTAAAATAAAGTTTGTTTATTCTACCACTAACACAAGTGAAATTTTCCCCATAAATCCCTTCAGGGCTTCCTGTGTTTAGTTCTTCTCAGTGTCTAATAACAAAGCCATTTTATTTTTATTAGAGACACCTATACTATAGCTTGGATAATGAGAGTGAATGGGGATCAGGACCTTGAGAATTCCCTAAGCCCACCTCTTATCTTTGTCTGGAAAGATGCAATTATTTTGGTCCATTGTGCTTCAAACTGGAAAGCCAGAAACACAGGGACTTCTCTTTGTCTCTGTCTCTGCAAGGGTAAAATGGATTTGGCAACTTCTGATCCCCTCCTAACAGATATACTACAGTCGTGGATGGAGCCTGGCCTAGAAGTTTGAGGATCGGGGTGCAAATAAAGCGTTTGAAAAATCCTAGCAGCCACCTGTGAGGTCGTCGCTATGATCAATTTGTTTGTTGGTTTTCTTTCACTCCAGCAGGAGTCTCTCCTCTTGCTGCAGCCCAGGGCAAAGGGGTGGTATGCTCCATAGGAATGCCTTCAGAAGGACACCCCCCTCGCCCCGAAGTAGGCTGGGCGGAATTGTGGGACCAGCATATCAGCAACTTGAGGAATCAAGGATCCCAGACCAGGACACAATACCTTGCCAACGGTATGTCTTAAAAACAATGGAATTTAGGGAGGTGTCATTACTGCTATAGCTTTAAATTGAGTTATTATGTTCCTTGGGATTTTATTTACTGATTTCGTCATTAATTGGCTATTTATGCTTACTCCCATCTTTGTTCCACACAGGTAAACTAACTCAAAAGAATAGGTGCAATGGAAATAGATATTAGGGAACTGGTAGAAGGAAAAGAAATATAACACTAAGAAGAAAATATGTATATAGATATCTAGGTACTGTGTTATGATATAGTTGCTAAAACAACTGAGAATTTGTATGATTAAAAAAATAGAGATTTCCTAGGAAGATTAAGTGTTCCTTTATCCTTAGGTTTGGAAAAAATTACTTAATTGTGGACAATACCCTAGACAGTAACTTGTGACATACATATAGTATTTGCTTCCATCGAGCATTCTTGGGTGTGTCAAGGTCAGTGTTGACAGCACGTTGTCCAAGTACAACTTACTGACGTCAGATCTCTAATTTCATTCATGGCGCAGGGATGGAAAGATGGACTTTGGACACCATAGCTGCTGCTCACCTTGCAGTGCAAAAGGCGTCCTTTCCTCTGAGTGGACAGATCCTCACAGGGCTCATGGCGTGTTGTGTGGAGTGTAGGATGCGTTTTAGCCACCGTTCATCTAACTGGCATACACTACTCAAACATGGCAGCCCTTACTTAAACTGACTGCTTAAATTGAAACTGACTTAAATTGAAATCTCATCTCTGCCCCTTACTACTTGTGTAACTTTGAGAAAGTGTTATCATCTGAGCTTAAGTTTTCTCATCTATAAATTGAACAAAATAATACCAGCCTTCTGGAGGGTTGTTGGGCCAATTTAAAAAAATATTATGTGTGCAAAGAGTTTGTACCTGACACATAGTAAGCAGAAAAGTAGCACTGGTATTTATTGTCACAGAAACTGTTATAGTATTGTCATTGATTTCAAGAGCAGCACACTCAGAGTTTACTCCAGAAATTTCAGGAATCCGTTCCCTCTCTCAACCCAGCCATGCTCTAAATGCATCTAGTTTTTTTTCTCTCTGGATGAGCCAGGCCAGATTTCTATGCTGCTTTGGCCTGGGTGATTTTTCCACACTGTCTTTATCAAGCTGAAGGCCAAAGCAGGTGGGAGGTCCATCACAGACCTTTTTCTTTTCTTCTGGGCAAGATATATGCACGCAGCAGTGCCCCGTCTAATAAAGCTCAGCAACAATTTCTTAAGGAAGACCAGAAGGATAGAAAATAAATAGCCCATGGCTGGGTTTTGTAATTTGGAAGCAATTCCAAGTGGACTGTAAAATGTTTTTGGTACAGATCTGGGGTGACATTTGCAATTTCAACATAACAGCCAAGTTGTCCAAAATGTATAATGCAAGTCAAGAAGCATTTTGTATTTCTCTTTTCCTTATATCTGGAAAAGGGGCTTGCGTTTAGCCTATAATTATAATTAATCATGTTTCAGAATTACTTTTCTTCTTAAATCACTAATAATGTCTGTTACTTAGGAGTATATATATATATTTTTCCCCCCTGGGGTGAATGTTAGAGTGAGAAAGAGTGAGGTGAAACCAAGCTCAGGGATTCTGTGAGTGGAGAGAGAGCCCAGCCCATGCTATCTTTCTTTCTGTTGGGCACTGGTATGGCTGTCATTCTATGTGTGCCAGGTATAAGGATGCGCAGAGCCTGTGCCAGGCACAGTCTTGAACCACACAGAGATCTACAGGGGCTCCGAGGTTCCCGTTGCACGTTCGGGTACTGCTTTGTCTTTTACCTCCTGGAAAACTTGCACTTATTGTCTGCATGGTGGTGGCTTTATTTTGATTCAAGCATTATTGGGTCTGGAATACTCTCTCCAGCTGGCTGGCCGTGTATTTTCCCGTGTGTGATATGCACCCGACGTTGATAAATGACGACTCTAAGTATAAGTCACTGTGTGCTCAGCACAATGAATCTCAAGGAGCAATCTCATTCTCAGTTCTTGAAAACAGCCATTTTCCACTCCTGGGGGACTGACCGTCTCTTCCGACTGGAAATGGGATTGGTAATAGAATTTCGCAGCTAAAGGCTCTCCTCAAATCTGGCCCTAGCCTGGAGGGAGAGTGAATGAGTTTGCAAGAGCCATCAGCCATCTGCTGCTTGTTTATCGAGCCTGTGGGTGCTGTCTGCTAGTTAGGCTCCCAGTGTATGTGATTTCTCTCCTTTGCGTTGACTTCAGCCCTGCTTGAACCCAGCACCTATCTTAGTGAAGCCTGAGGAAGGAGTGAGGTGGAGAGGAGATTCTTCAGGAGCCTTCCCTTATCGGTGGATCATGGATAATCATGGCAATGGCTTGGAGAGCTGTGAACTGAGTTATGTCAGGCAAATCACACTAATGTATTCATATGCTAGACAGAAAGAAATGGAATCACCAGTTAGACTGCCACCTGCAAAGTAGAAGGGATCCAGAATATACCGATTATCTATCTCACTTAACTAGCAGCTTTACAAACTTAACGCCAGTTATTCCTTGGGAATTTTACAGATGAACACAGTAAGGATAGCAGAATTTAAATGGCTAGCCCAAGGTGGAATAGCCCATGTGAAAGAACTGAGATCTGGCCTTTCTGACTAAATAAACCACTAAACCAGGAAAGGAATGTGAAGAAAATCACATTCATGGATGATGATGTGTAAATGGAATCTCTAATTGTATGGCTCTAGAGGGAAAAGTGAATTCCTTCAATTTAGTCAGTTCGTTCTAATACCATATACACCAGGAACTGGGTCTTGGAGTCCCCTGGGGAAACAGAAATTCCTCGGCCTGGCCCCTGAATTACCGGGAATCAAACCAAGTGACTGTTGGAATTTTTCTTCTTTAAAAGGGTGCTTTGACTCACATAGTTACAGACAAAATGCACCTGTGATTTCTTGGTTGAGGGGTTAGAGGAAGGGCAGTCCAAACTGGTATTTACAGTCACTGAATGACAAGCTCATGGATCAAACTTGAAAGAGTCATTGACTCTCAAGGGATACAGAATTCTAAGTGTTTTCTAATCTAGAATCATATCTAGAAAATTGACTCTCACTTAAACTTCTGGAGAGTAGTATTCACCTTCTACTCAAATGCCAGTGCTAGGACACTCACAGCAACTCTAGCAAGGAAGTGAGGACTCCCAGTGCGCCTCTGGTGGAATAGTGCAGGGGTATTACTTCAGTCAGTCCTCAGAGCAATCCCCCTGGGTCAGTACTACTACGTGATTGTTTTCATTGATGAGAAAATTACACTGAGGCTGCTATTTGTGTAAGATTCCAGAGCATGTAATAGTGTTATGACTTGAAATCATGTCTGATCCAAAACAAAATCACATTTTCAGAGAGTTCTAATTGTTTAAGGGGCATCTTCATGTTATGGTGGCATTTTAGATTTCAGTTTTTGCCAGCCGTGTGTCCCATACCTGGCCTGTGAGGTGACCCATAAGTCACTGCAATTCCTCTTTCTTGTCTAACTCCTTATTTCAGCACTTCGCCGTATTGGACTGCTCCAAGTTTGGCTTACATTGTCTTTGATTACTTCTTAGTCATGCTACATTGTTGACTTGTTAAGGCTACAATTGACTAAATCTTCTAAGATATTTATGTCTTTATCCAACATTTTTACAAATAATGTTTAGATCCAGGTATAAGAATTTGTACCTATTACCGTCACATTTCAACCTATTAGATTCTACCCACTGATATACCCTGATGATATCTATGTGAAATACAATTTTATCCTAATTATATTTCTTGGCTCTATGTCATTGGTGAATCTGATAACAGGCATTCTATATCTTCAAACGTATTAATGGTGTTAACTGGATGGTACTAAGGTCAGAACACAAAAGCCTGAAATTTGTCCCCTTTCTTCTTGTTGAGATTGATTCATTGATTAGAACCTTTAGGCTCATATTTTCAATCATATAACTGGAGTAAGATGAGAAGGAGTAAGATCCCCCAGGAAATTTTCTTGTATGTGGCTTTACAGTTTGCACAGGTAAAGATTATACATTCCAAAAAAAGATGATCTGGTGCATCTTGGGATGCCCAGTCATCTCTGGCTTTGATAGCAACAATTCAAATAAGACAAACTTGGGTTCCTCTGCTGCTTACTAAAGGTATAATTTGGGGCAATTCATTTGAGTACCCCTTAGTCTCTTTATTCATCCATTACATGGTAATAATAATAAATAAACCACACAGTTTATAAAAACATTCAGTGAGGTAATTAGAGGTGAACGTGCTTTTCAAAAGCACTATGCAAGTATTAGCTCTTGTTATTATGTTTGAGATGGATATTAACTGGGATATAAAGGGAGTGTTTACCTTGAAGATCTGTTCAGGTATTCATGCATGCATTCCATCAAGATTTATTGATTGCCAACTCTGTGCTATGCACAGTAAGAGAGGATGGGACTACAATGACCCCTAAATTTGTTCCCGGTCTTCTACCACTGTCTGGTGGAAAGACAGACCTCTAAATTTCTCCCATCATGTCCTTTTGATAAAGACTTCTGTTTAGTATCCAACACACTTTGTTGCAATTATTCTTTCCATGTATAAACATGATTTTTATTTACATTATAATGTAAAACAAGGGGAATGAGATTTGTTATACGGAGGGTGGTTATGTTTAGATTATGCTTAAATTATAGTGTTTAATTTAACATTTAAATTAAGGACAAATAACTGAGGAATAGAATAAAGACTACTGTTCAGGTGCCCAAACCACATTTCTGTGACTCTATGATATACCTGCCCCACTTTCTGGCACTGGAAAGTTCAGAGCACTAGAAAGTTCACTAGCTCTGAACATGCAAGGAGGCTAGCCAGATTCTGGCATATTCAAATGACTTGGAATGGCACATTGGCATTCTTGACAAGCTATAGCTGTGTGTCAATGAACTAGCGTACTTGGCTCCAAAGACCATGTGAGAAATGTGCTAGATTGGTGGAGGCCCTATGGAACTCACTTCATGGTCCTCCCTGGGCAGACAGAGAAGTTGTGTGCCTCCTATCCCCGTTGTCAGGCTCAGCAATCTGGCAGTGAGGCAGTTCCTTCAGAGCAGAGTGCCAATGGACATTGGATTTGGTTCCCCTAAAGTCCGTGTGAAGCAGAAAAACTCAAAGACTGTAGTACCTTGATGCTTTCTATCGGGCTTCATGATTGATTGCCTCCAACTAGGGTGGCCACAGTGAGTGTACTGGACTAAACCAGGGCTGAGAGGGTGGTCAGGTTCATGGAGTGGAGTAATGGCTCTATGGGTTTCCTGTTTGTCACTATGGAAAGGCCACACTTACCTGCTCAATCCCCATTTACTTTGTATTCTAGGATAGAGGTCAGGAAGACTATATCCCACCTGCCTATACAGCTGTGGTGTGTTGAAAGCTCCCTGGACTTAAAGTAAGAAGATCTGGGTTCGAGTCTCAGTCTGTCACTTATTTTTTGTGTGACCTTGGGCAAGTCACTTCACCTATCTGAGCTTTAGTTTACTTCTCTGTTTAACTGGGAACGTATTATCCGTCTCATGGGGTTGCTGTGAGAATTCAGTGAGATGGTGCATGTGGAAAGTGCTTTGGTGACTGAATATTGCTCTAAAGAAGATTGGCAGAAAGCAGAATATGTAACACTTTGTTTCTTTTTCAGGTATTCATCCAACGGTTTAAAAACCGAACAAAACGCATCAATAAATATGCAACTGCCTTCAAGAGAGACAAACTCCTATTTTAATAGCTTGGATCAAAAAGACCTGATGGGATATCCATCCAACAGGGCCAGTTCCGTGCCCATCATCCCTTCAGTGGGCCTGGAGGAAACCTGCATGCAAATGCCAGGGATTTCTGAAGTCAAAAGCATCAAATGGTGCAAAAACTCTTACTCTGCTGATATCGTCAATGTGAGTATTCCAGTCAGCGATTGTCTCGTAGCAGAACAACAAGAAGTGAAAATATTGCTAGAAACTGTCCAGGAGCAGATCCGAATTCTGACTGATGCCAGGAGGTCAGAAGACTACGAACTGGCCAGCGTAGAAACCGAGGACAGCGCAAGTGAAAACACAGCCTTTCTCCCCCTGAGTCCCGTGGCCAAATCAGAACGAGAGGCACAATTTGTCTTAAGAAATGAAATACAAAGAGACTCTGCATTGACCAAGTGACTTGAGTTGTAGGAATCTGTGCATTCTATGCTTTGCTCAACAGGAAAGAGAGGAAATGAAATACAAATTATTTATATGCATTAATTTAAGAGCATCTACTTAGAAGAAACCAAATAGTCTATCGCCCTCATATCATAGTGTTTTTTAACAAAATATTTTTTTAAAGGGAAAGAAACATTTCAGGAGTGATAAAGCTTACAACTAAAGCTTTTGGGTAGGATTCTGAATACAATTTCAGTTAGTCCCAACGCCGTCGTCCTTGGCTCTTAGATGTGGGCGATTCAGACCCTCACCCCCACAGTGCCAGTGTCTTCTTAAAAAAGCACTGGCAGTTACCTGCTTTCAGAGACGAGCTGTATCCTGAGGGCAGACGTGCCAATGAGCAGATGGCCCTTGCCATTTGGCTTGCCAGTCCCAACCCCTAAATTTCTATTCACTCGACAGCCTCATCACAGGTTATGTCATGTCAACAAATGTAGTGTTTTCTATTTAATTTTTGAAGAATGGCACAAAGACTCTGGAAGGAGAAGGACAGGAGATAGAGGGAGTCAGCGGGGGCAATCTTAGCTACTCTTATGTGCCAGCTTCCTCTGAAATTTGAAGGCACAGAATCTCAGAGGGAGATATGAAATTATTATAGAAAAAAAGACAAAAATGTCACAATGTTGGGTCACTAAAATCATGCTAATAGAAATGTTTTTCTTTGAGATCATTTAGGGGCTCTGAGGAGCATTTCTCAGTGTGTGTGTGCCTGTGTGTGTGCGAGCGTGTGTGTGTGTGTGTGTGGGCTTGCTCAATGGAGCACTGGTATGCTGTATGCACATGTGTTCATTGTGCATTTGTGTGTGCATGTGTGTGCGTATTAAGCTTGCTAAAATTTGTTCTGAAACATCAGGGAATCTAACATTCAGAAAAAAAATTTCCCTCTTAGATCTGTTCACTTAAAATTTTTCCATTAAGTATAATGTTCAGTTAGTAAGTTTTTAAATCAAGGTCACTTGCATGGTGGGGTCCTATAAACCTCTTGACAATGTCTAGACCATTTTCTGATGTGAATATTTTTGAGAGGAACAACTATTGGCTCATTACGATATAAGTATCACAAGGCGAGTTGAGGATGTGTGTTTATTTTGAATCATGCGTATTTAAATTATTAACACAAGCCAATGATCAAATTGACAGTTACCCTTTGCTTTCTCATCCTTATTACTATTTATTTTGTAGCAAGTCTACTATGGGTGGACCCAGACATTGGCTTCTGTGGTTAATATGGAAAGAATAAATTGTTGCAATCACAAACTCAGACCATTCAGTTCACAGGAAGCCCCCAAAAGAATAGTAAATTGTGTTGTATGTTCATTTGGAATAAAGCAATATTTTTACCACTGCTAAGGTGAACTGAAACTTCTCCTGAAGATTTGTCTGTTTTATTTACCCTAACTTTCATGGGGCATTCAAGGAAATTAGTGTTCACATAACCAGTCTTTTTCCAATTATTGGTGGTGTTGAGTTGTTATGTTTACACTGTTTTAAATAAAAAGGCACAGTATTTGAAAGTACGTAAAAGATTTCTTTTACTGCAGTTTGGGAAAACCTTGGTTAAAATTTCCTTGTGAAAGATTCATGTTCTATTGAAAGGGAATGTAACTATATTTGAATCAAATATTGAATATATAAAATTCTTATTGGAGGTTAAGTTGCTTCTGTTGAAAATACATTGCAAATTGCTCTTTGAGAACATTCTTTAATAATAGACATAATGCCATACAGGGAAAAGGAAGAACATGTGGAAATTCAAGGTTTCAAATGTTGAAAACACTTTGGTAGAAATGTGTTTTATATTTAACAAAAGGTTTGTGGTATTCATTAGTTGTCCCATTGTGGTTTCATGGTTTTGAATATAGCGGTAATATTTTAGACTCTTAAAAGATTAGTATTAATTTTTAATGTCTAGATCACCTAAGTTCTCTTTTAAAAATATTACATCTTGGGAAAATTTTAGAAAGATAGTCTTAATTAACAGGTATATAAAAACCCCATAAGTTGCATATCTAATAAGTTATTGTGTTGAAATTTATCATAATAATCAAACATTAACTGGAAGGCCTCACAAATCTGTTGAAGACAACTTTGTTCTTGGGTTTTTCATTAAAATGTTACCTGTTGCTTATCTAAAGGATTCATAAGAATTCACCTAGTTAGGAGATTATATACTCTGTGACTCACTGCAGTTATTTTAATATATTTTTTACACTGAAAAGATGGATGACTGTCAAACTTAAGTCCTAATCCAACACCTTATTTTGTTTTTTAAAGTAGAACCATCTATTATGTGATTATCACACTCCTGTGCACTCCGGCACATCCACTGGCAGTCTGAGGTAAAGTTTAGAGAGTTACTTCCTAATGGATAGTCAAGACAAAATCCACCATAAAAAACAAATATTAATGGTTACTTTCAGTGGTCCTTTGTCTTCTTTTGGAATATGAAGCTCTCCTGTGAAAAAGGTCCAAGCTCAAAATGCACATCTTTGGGCACCAGCTGACAAGTGCTGATAGCATCAAGACTTTCAAAGTCGATCTCACATGGCAAACGCCTGGAGCCAGTGGTACCTTCAAGCTCACGTGCCTACAGAGAAGTGTTTATTTCTATAAGACATCTTTGATTTTACTTCATTTTTCCTATCTTTATTATGTGAAGAGATATTTGGAGATTTGTAATTAAGTGAGTTGTGTGTTCATTATCTACTAAAGAAGGAATGTCATTCATTATTTTTCACACTGAATCATTTTCTGATATGTCTTTTTTTATAAAGCATATGTTATTCTAATTTTGCCATTGACTGCTATGGAATACTGTTGTCCAAAATACGTGACCAAATTTATACCAATGAGAAATAGTAGAAATGATGGTAGAGAATTGGCATCCAAATTTTCTTCCCAATTTTCCTATGTACATTAAGTGCTCTATATTTTGTACTCTAGTCCAATATCTCTATGGGTGAAGGACTAAATATTTATAAGTTTATCACATCTCCAATCATTTACCTTATTTCTAAGTAGCAATAGCAAGGCCCTCTGAAGGAGGAAGAGTGCTATATTTAGGACTTCACAATTTAATCTGTTTTTATCTTAATAACATATCAGACCTACCAAAAAGAAGGGCCAAGCTGACTTCAAGAGAGCGCCCATTGGGTTCTAGATTGACTGACAGCTACAATTTGAGTGGGGCATCTGGTGACCATGGATAAGGCTGTCCATAACCAGGTCAACACCAGAATGTGTTCAGTGTAAGCCGCAGTCATTTGCAGCTATCCTGCAGTGTGGTGCTATAGGAAACCATGACTCCCAAAGTAGGGGGTATGGTGGTCCCTCTGATTCCAGCCCCATAAACCAGAAAACATTGCCCTGAGACAAGTGCTGTGAAACATGTCCCAATGAGTATATAGCATACCTAGGAACACAGCAGGAGGGGTGGGATTTTTATTTGATCTTTTGGTATCTGGGAAACATTTTATATATAAAGAATACTTTTTTATTATTATTCAAATGTATAGATTCAGTACAGTGTATTCAACGATGGCATGTCCATACCGTGTTTGTACTTTAGTCTTCAGAAGTTCAGTCTTCATGCAGGAAAGACCAGCACAATGTTTCTGGGCTGTTCTCAATTTTAAATGCATCCCAATATATCATGGGAAATGAGGCCTTCAAATAAGCTTTATCTCTTCCTCTTTTCTTTCTTTCCCTTTTAAAGAAATAGTGAGGGTAAAGGAAGAAATTCATTCCTTAAGATCCACATTGTTCTCCTATAATAATCTGTTTCCTACTGTGACTACACGCACACACACATACACATATATAAACATATATGTATATATAAAATATATATATTAAATTGAGGTGTTCGATTATTTTAGTGCTTTATTTTTGCTTAATTTGACAAATATTAAAGTGATTGCCTCATGGAATGCCAATGAAATTAAATCATTTAGAGAGCAACCAACTTGGCAAAGTTTAGATTGTACAGGCATTTTTCAATCCTTTCTCTTTCTTAGGTAAACAGAAATATCCTCGGGCTGGAAAATTCTAAAGACTCTGGAATAAAATCTCTGTTAGATTATCTCTTAGAAATGAAGATTAAACTATGGGCGTATATGATTGCTGTCCCTATAGTGCATAATGATCTCAAATATGTTTTTGACAAATTTAACCATGACTTCTTACAAAGGTGCCTAAATAGGTGCCTTTGCCTTCTAGTGTCACTGAACTACAGTGAGGAGCTGAGGTGAAGGCAGAGCGGTGGCGGGGAAATTACGTGTTAATGTTGGATACTCAATGAAGACGTGCAGATAATAGCAGAGGTGACCAGACCTAGAAGTTCTAGGCTTCTAGTATTGTGATAACTTTTTGTCACAAATACCTGTATCAATTGCACGTGTATTGTTGCCTATGAAAGAATTATGTGATAGCAAACAATCTGTTATTGTTGGAAATGAATGAGAAAATCTTTATATGAAAGTCGTCTTTGTGAAAGCTTCTAACTTATCTATGCGTCATAGTAGCTCCATGACCCTATCAATCAAATAAGAAAGATGATCTAGTTCATCTCCGATTTCCCTTCCAAATTGAACAGCCTGTTATCCAGTCATTCTAACTCAGACTTTACCTGGTCATTTGTCATTCAGTTGTTTCAACACAACCTTTTGGAAAGCTAATGACTATAAGTCTGTCTCCCAAGACTCAAAAATTGTTGGATTCTGTATATCAACATATGAATGACTTACAATTGTAATATTCCATTTAATTTCCATAGAGAAATAGGATTACTTTTATGATCGTTTTTAAAGTCAATTTACTTAGGATAGAAAGAAGAAGGGCCAAGAAAATACCCTAATTTCAAAGCTTGAACATCAAAATTTGCCCCAGATTTTGGATCAAAATTTGCCCCAGATTCGTTTTAAAGAAACTGCATCCTGTGAACCTTTACCAAAAGACAG